TTAACAAACCTCGGGTCTGTTTAAGGTGATTTAAAGAGAGATGTGCTCTCCTGCACCCAATCAAACTGGTTTCATTATGCTTATCCCATGAGCATAGGAACAGTGTGACACAACGATTCCATGACAAATTGATTCAATAATATGACACAATGATCACATGACACAAATTGATACAATAATATTCCAAGAGAACTCCCGGATTTTTTTTAAGGCAATGGGATCGCATCCCTAAGCCTATATGGATGATGCTGTCAGTTTCAGTTTCTCCCACAGTTGACTTTTGAAAATCTCATTATTTCCCCATCCAGAATATGGAGAAATCTGTAAATGTGGGTAAATTCCTACACCCCCCCAAAGAGGGGGGCAGGCAAAGAGAAACAAACTTCTCACCATCTCTCATGCTGTTTCTGCAAGCTTATTGATAGGAATGGGAGCTGCACAAGAGTACGCCTCTTCTGCAGTTTCCATTTCCATCTGAACTCCACAGTCTCACCAAACATTGGGTTTTCTCACCTGATGGCGAAGATCTTCAATTATCTGATGATACTTGCTGTAATCCCGGACCACTCCAGGAGCTCCAGGTCCATTTTTTTCATACCAGTGGCGGATTTTCAGCTCCAACTCCGCATTGGCTTCCTCCAAAGAACGCACCTTTTCCAGGTAGTTTGCAAGGCGGTTGTTGAGGTTCTGCATGGTTTCCTTTTCAGCCCCAGCCAAAAAGACGCTGTCCCCTCCACCATATCCACCACCCAAGCTTGCCACAGAGCTGGGGCGATAGGCTCCTCCATAACCACTACCTGCCACCGAGGCACTGCCAAAGCTCATCCCATTCCCAAAGCCTGCTCCACTCCCAAAGCCCATTCCGCTCCCAAAGCCCGCTCCGCTCCCAAAGCCTCCTCCGCTCCCAAAGCCTCCTCCGCTCCCAAAGCCTCCTCCGCTCCCAAAGCCTGCTCCACCAAAGCCACTGCCTAGCCCTGCCACAGAACTCGCACCAAAGCCATGGACACTGCTGCCTCCAATGCTCGGCAGCTTGACACCTCCATCACCCCCAGCATAAGAAGAAATTCTTCTGGATGCTGTAGAAATCCGAAGAGACATTGTATATCTGAGCGGTGTGCTTTGCAATAATGGCAGCAGACGCAGTGGAAGGCTAGGTAGTTAATCTGCTGATGGGGACGTTTTCTCTTCCTTTTATATGGGATCATTAGGGCGTTGCTTTTATAATTCCTCCAACCTGTGGTTTTTTTGTGGTTTTTTTTTCATCTGCTCAGCAGATCTGAGCCTGCAACTCGTTTTCCTCTCCCTTTACCCACCCCCACTGCACATTAGCATTTAATCCAACACTGTGTCCATTTGCAGTTTGGTGCCCCGAGGTTGTTTGTTATGCTAAGGGTGGAGCAGGGTGGAACAAAGCTAAAAATTCATTATGATGTTGTAATTGTAGATGAGTTCTTCTTTTTTTCTTTTCTTCTTCTTCTTCTCCTCAAACCCAGACATAACACACCTTGTTCTCCGAGGAAATCCCCAAGTGACATACATTCGTTCAATTACCCTCCAGGTTATTTCTGTTCAGTCCCATAACAAAAATATTGGTGCCTTGGTCCTTTGCCTTAGAGACAGAATTTTCTTTTCTGCCTCTTTCTTCTTGTAGAATCTGCGAGCAAAATAAACTAATTGAAGAATGTTGGAGTGAATGGTCTAAACCAGCCCACCTTCATTAGATTGGAATAGCTTGTTAAGAAATGAAACAAGGCAGCCCTACTTTATGGGTAAGGTGAGGATCTCAAGTTCATTTTTCTGAATGGGGACCCATATGTCTGCCCTGAAGTTCTGCCCTAATGGCATCACTGAAAAAGATTTCTTTTTTTTTTTAAATCTAGTCTAACAGTTGTTCTGTTCATACAAGCCCTGTCCAGCTAGAAAATAGACTCTGGACCACCTTGAACGTATCTGACCACCTCTGATTTGGGAAGTTAAGAAGGGAGACCACCAAGAAATACATGGATCTCCAGAAAGGGCTAAGAAGTTAGTCAGCCTGAAACCCTAGAGAATACTGCCAGTCAGAGCTGACAAGACTAGGTTGGATATCCCCTCATGAGTAGAAAAGTGGCCTAGAAATGAAACAAACAACAAATAAATGTGAAAGGATTGTCTTCTGCCTTTTGAATAGCATAAGCTACAACACCTTTGGAGTTCAAAATTAGAGCTGTGTTTCTTGTTGCTGTTCTGTAGCTTTTGACTTAGAACAGCTCTAATAAGGTTTTCATGGAGATATTTAAGGAGTGGTTCTACCAGTTCCACATACCCCTCATACGTTTCTGTGGCTCGGTGGGGATTAAAACCCAGGGCTCCTGAGTCCTAGTCCTACCCCTCATAAGTTTCTGTGGCTCAGCGGGGATTCAAACCCAGGGCTCCTGAGTCCTAGTCCATCAGTCTATCCACTAAACTACACTGGGTCCCAAATGGGGGATGCAAAACTTTAAAACATGTGTTCAAGTCATGAAATACCTTGAACTACAGGACACAATGTAAAATATCAAAATATCATATTAAAAACAATACAAGATTTGTTATTTGTCGTTTTTCTGAGAAGCTCTGGGATTTGGGATTTTTGTAAGAGACTGAATCTTTTCCAGGAGAATTGAGATTTGTGGAAGGGTATTTTCATACATGGCAACCTTTGACAAAGGGCATTTTTTAAAATAATGTGTAGATGATGATGATTTACCACTCCTTTCTATGGTAAATGGACTGATCGATCAATATAACACATATACGTAGGATGTAAGTCTTACAGTGCAGTTAAGGGCAGAAATAGCATCACTGAGACTGTACCAGTGAAACCATATTAGTGTTGCAAGCTTTCTTTCAGAAATCAAAATTCAAAGGAGTCCCATGCTTAGGCCCAACTCCTGAAGACCATTCAATGAAACAAAACAAGCTATTTTGTAAAGCCTGGTAGGTGAGAGAAGTTTGTGTTGTAATCTGCCCTTAAGGAATTTCCTGATAATGAACTATCGTTCTCCTAAATCTAGCTGAATTCAGGTGCTGTGAAGTGGAGTGGGCTAGTGCAGAACATTGAAATTTAGACACTTACCCTCACTGATGAGGAGAGCTGCTGTGTCTGGAAGAAGCAATCTTTCCTAATCTCCATTTTCATTCCCAACACGAGAGTTTAGGCCTGTTAGGGAAATCCAAGGGAATTAGGGTGAACCAATGAATAATAGGCAGAGTTACCTTTCTGGATACTGTAGAAATCCAAAGAGATTTCAGCAGTGTAGCTTGCCTTAAAAGCTGTACCTGGTGAAATTTCCTCTTCTAAGCAACGACTTAAACATATAGGAATCATACGGTATCTTCTTTTTCATTGTAGAAGAAGAATTGGAGTATCTTGAAGTAGCCTAATACTTGGTGTATATTACAAATCTTGTGTAATATGTTTTTTGTGTAGACTCATTTCAAAGGTATTGTAATAAAATATCTCATGAAAAGCAACTAATTCATATGTTTCAGTCAGAAATTCCTGTACAGCTCTTTGACAGCACTTTTCTAGGTGTCTGTACTGAGGTAAGTTGATGGTTAAACTGCCAGCATACCGCCTACTGTTTTTGTAGATCTCTCCCCGTGATGAGGCTCTCTTGGCACAATGACTATGATCACTTTGACTTCTTGTCAATAAGCCATAGCAGGTTATGTAAATCTTACTCCCCCCAACCCCTCCACCTATAGGATTAAGGCCACTACTTTTTTTTTTTTTAAAAAAACTTATTTTTGAATTGGTCTTCTAAAGGTTGTTTTGTGGCTGAATTCTTTTTCTATGGTACTCAAGCCACACAGTCCCAGGGTGACTCGAGAAGGGAAGAGTAAACCACTTTGAGTAATCTTTACCTAGAAAACTGTGAAAAGAGATTGACTTGATGGCACAGAAATTGACTTGATGCCACACAATTAGTAGTGTTTTTATTGTATCTTATGTTTTTTTGTAAACTATCATGGAAACTTATTCAGGTGGTAGTAGAGACATTTCATAAGTATATAAGTGAATGGGTTGTGATAATTTGAGATAAAGTAAAGAATAATCTGGAGATTGGATTTTACAACAAAAAACAACAACAACCCTCTTTGAAATGAGTTGTTATCTCTACTTTCTGCTCTGATGTAGTGCCTCGAAAATTTTAAAAAAATTAATTTTAATTCTTTTCTGACTTTAGAATGACAGATAAATGGCATGAAACCTGAAAAATTCCTGATGAAATGTCTTTTAAAATGCCCTTAATTGATCTTTAAAAATAACTGTTGATAACAACCAGGAAATGTTATTCTTTATACCAAAAAGCAACTTTGTAGCTATTGAAATGAAACTTAGTTACATCCTCATTACTTAAAATATAACTAGTTATGGTAGCTTCTGTATGTTATTTGTAGCTAGTTACTTTCCAGTTTTAGGGAGATTGATTTTCATTCTCCTGCTATAGTCCAAGAAGCTGTCAGTAGAGTATAAAAGGTGGACCAAGAAACATCTCTTTTCAATGCTTTGAGATTAATCTAGTTCACCTTTGTGATTCTTTCCTCTTTGTTTATTGCATATGAGAGATGGCCATTTGGAGTAACAGTATCCTGTAAGATATGGGGTGTTTGCTTTTTCAAAAGAGCATGTTTTTTTTTTTAGTTCATAAGCCATCCTTATGAATTAAATGTACTTACATCTTACTTTATGTTGGAAGCAATCCAATATAATTTCTAGAGCGGAAGGATCAGCTGGCATGCACTGCTGTTGCCTAGGGGATGCCCAAATATATTCAAAGTCTCCACATTCTTTCTATTTCTGCACCTATTATATTTATACTGGAACTAATTGCTTTGTTTTATTGCATCAGGTATTTAAATCCAAAGATGATTTATAGCTTTAAAAACAGTTGTCCTATATTCAGAAATAGCAGACATATTCGTTTCACCTTGATTAGAAACCCACTAGGGGCTTGTGATCAAGTTCAGTAGACAAGCTAAGCAGTTCCTCCTTTTCAGCAGGAATGACCATAGGAGTCCTGTTTCTTTCATTTAAACTTTTATTAACAAAAGTGGAAGGAGAATCAACAACTACTTATATCGGGCCAAGAGGGCCAAGGTCCAAAGGGAGCTCTGCTCAAAATAACGATAGTCCGTAACTCAATTCTTCATCTTTCACCATGGTGATGGGTCTGAACCTTTTTTGGTCCATCGGCTTCCTTAGTGGACTGCTCCTTACTTCATAAATGGTCCCACAACATGGGTGACGGACGCAATCTCCTTCTTGGGGTCTGGGATTTGGTGGCTTTGGTCCTGGGCAAACCACCTTCCTCCAAGAACCTTGAGGGTATGCTAAAACCGTCCATTCTAAGGGATCTAATCCTTTAGGTTGAACCTCTATCCCTTGTTCACCCCATCCATGCCCGACCATGCCACACCCTTCTCTTCTTGCACCTGCTCTTTCTGGTACCTTGAACACATAAGGCTCTCTTTCGTCCTTTCTATCTTCTTCCCATGCTACCACACTCTCCTCCTTTCCTGCGCTTTCTTCTTCTGTCATAAGGAAGACCTACCCCTCTTTTTCTCCCTTTTAGGCTCCGCCTCCCTTTTTCCTCCTGCTCCTCCTTCTCCTATATCCAAACATTTCACTCCTCCTGCCACACCAGCTACTGCATCATCGCGTCCTAGACATGTGAGAGGACGGCTCACTCCCTTCCTTTACTGCCATCCCCATCTCCACTTCACAGTGCTATTCCTATTGCTCTCTTCATCCCAATATGTATGTACTCAGTCTGGATCAACTTTGCATGGGTTTCCCATTCCCATTCCCTTCCCTCTTTTCATCTGCTCTGCTTCCTTCTTTTTAATGTCATGGCGATCTTTCATCCTGCTCTGCTGCTCATTTAATCTTTCCTTCTCCCACCTCTTCTTCCCTTCCTACTAGGCACCAGGAGTTTATCTCTCTTCCCTGCTCATATTGTTCTAACAGTTTGGGGGCTCTACATGGGGAAGGCACTAAATGGACATGCTTATAGGACAGGTGGACAGCTCTGTCCCTGCTTAGGGAGGTTCTACAGTACTACAATCTATGG